GAATAAGAAGCCAAGGCATCTGGGAGAGAAAACGGCATATTATGAAACTCGGTGAGTGATTTCCTGTAGACTCCACCATCTCTAAACCCTCATCGTCGTCGGCGTCGATATCGTCATCACAGTCCATTGAATTAACATCTTCATCATCGTTGTTGTCATCGACAAGTTTATCACCATCATCGCAGGCCACTTTCGCCGGAGGACGCCATCGACCCGATGGGAGCTTGGGAGGTGGTGCACTCTTAGCAAGGAGGCCGCTTTTCTCAATGTCATTGAGCATTCCAGGAGATCTCTCCCATGAAAATGGGATCCTTTTACTTATATCGTGAGCAATTCCTCGGGGATCTACATTTGCATTTGCATTTGCATCGATGGAACCAGCTGCGACAAGACGCCTTGTTGATAGAAGCGATGCCTTGAAGTTCAAGCTGCGGCCATGACATCTCTCATTCGAACCCTCTTGATCCATAGCATAGAGCTCAAAATTGTGAGTCTATGAGTCGGTAGAAACAAGTCAATGGCACCACCAACCATCCACTAAATTTGTTCTGACCATTCATTTGGGTAGTTGTGGCTCACAACGACAGATGAAGATTGACTAATTAACATCTTTTCTTCCTTATGGATTTATTGAGAAACAACTAAAACGAATACTCCATGAAACATAAAAGTAGAGTGGAACCATCACACACTTTCTTCACATGAATACAGAGTCAGAGAAGATGATGAACAATATTCCTGCCCTTTTTTTATATTTTTCTAAAAAAGCTATCTTATTTTAGTTATTTTATAAAAATATTACTTTTTATAGATATTCAGAGCAAAAAGTTGCCCTTATCTGCAAGAAACCCTAAAATCTCTCTCTCTCTCTCTCTCCATGGGATGTTTTGGGCCCTACACATATCTTGATTGATCCAGTTTGGTTTGTTGAATCTGCTATGTAATTAAATTTTAGAAAATATGTATTCAAAATAAATATTAGAAACACTATTAATTAACATGTTTTTGTTAAAATAATAATTTCTTCAAAAATATTTCCTGATATATTAAAAAAAAAAGAATGTTAAAAATTCCTTAAATTTTTTTTCTATAAATTCATTGCTAATTTTCTAAAAAAAATCTGCGAACATGAATTGTCTCCTTTGTCTTATAGCTCCATTGCGGCAAACTTAAATATATTAGACAACACATAACTCAAGAATAATGCTACAATGGATAGAGTTCAGCTTGGCCCAATCAGAAATGTCCTAAGACTTCTGTCTAAATGTTACTTATCAAAGCATGTGCATTGCATTTAAGAGTAATAAAATTAATAAAGTATAATATTAAAAATTAAAAAATAAATAATATAAATTAACATAAATTTATCTAACAACACAACCAAAAAAATAGCTTGTGTTGGACTTGGTACTACTTGGCTCAATTTGATATTGTCATAAATCTCTTGTCACAGTTTCTTTTAACATCATTGTCCAGGGCCGACTAATTAAAGATAAAATATAAAGTGAGGTAATAATTAGTAGAAAAAAGAGGGAAATGATAACAATATATCATCTAGAATAAAAAAAAACTACCTTGTCCTCCGTTTTGAGCATAGAGAGATTTTTTTAGGCTATGTTTGGTTTGAAGGAAAAAGTAGGGAAAGGAAGAGAAATGCAGGAAAACCTATACAAGATTTGTAAAGGTGTCCCTTCCTTTCTCTTCCTTTCCCTACTTTTTCCTTCAAACCAAACATAGCCTTAAGGTTCAACTATGGCATTGGAAAAACTTATCTTATAGCTAATCAAACTAGCATGGCAGCATCATAAAAAGAGATGACCAATCAATGGTATTCATCAAAATTCACGAGGTGCTGCTTTGATTGGTTAAGCTGGTAAGCTCTTTAGATACCTTGTATTTCCAATATCATGGATATTCCCTTTTTTTCCATTAGCATTTGAACTTTCTTTTTTTTTTTTTTTTTGTAAGAAGTCATATTACGTATATATTGTAATATATTATATATAATATACATAATGTGTATCTATTATAGTCTATTTACATGTACACAGGGGTATCAATGGGTTGGATTTGAGGAGGGTTTTGTAAATTCTAGACTCTATCTACCTCCCCAAACCTCCCAAACCGTATCCTTCTTTAAACTTGCAATAGGTTGGATTTGTAGAATTCAAACATTACTCACACATGAAAATGTAAAACCCTCATTGATCCTATCCTTACTGGATTGAGGGTGGGTTGGATCGGATCTAGAACTAGGGATGGCAAATTTCCTTCTCCCTACTAGGTACTTGACTTCTTTGACCCCATTGAGTTAGGGGTGGAGATTTCCTTGGCGGGGATAGGGATTGATAGTGATATCGGACTTGGATGAGGAGTGAATTCCCTGCCCCATGTCAACCTTGATTATATATATATATAATATATATATGTGTGTGTGTGTGTGTAATATTATTATTTATATTATATGTATCAAAATATATTTAAAATCTTTTATATTTTAAAAACTTCCCTTATTCTAAATAAGTCTATTTTCTAAAAAAAAACTTTTAACTTAAAGCTATGTTTGGTTTGAAGGAAAAGGTAGGGAAAGGAAGGGAAAGACAGGGAAATCTATACAAGGTTTGTAAAGGTTTCCCTACCTTTCCCTTCTTTTCCATGCATTTTCCTTCAAACCAAACATAACCTAAAAGTTTTGGGGACTCAGATTCCTAATGGGGGAACTCATCTTTGTCAGGGATCAATTGAGGGTCATTTTTATCCCTGATGGGGATCAAGGTAGGGGACGGGGGTTTGTTCCAAAGGGATGGAGAGTATGGTCCCTACCCCAAACCCCCCCTCCCCACCCCCCTCCGGTTGCATTCCTATGTAGAACTTATGTCTAATTTTCTGTTATATATAAACAATAAATAAGTAAAATAACATGAACGAACATCAAAATTTCCAATTATTTGATAGGAACATGTATAAAACACAAACTATCAAATATCCTTCACATAAGATTCAAAACATTATTAAATTCCACACATAATACATAAGTTCATATCTCTTAGAATATTAGTAATTTAATTATAAGCACTAGGGTATTTTAGTAAATTCAGTATTTGAATTGGGTTTAACGAGCTTGGATCTCCTATCCACACCTACCCACTGAGAACATTTTCTGGTGTACATTGAGAACATTTTCTGGTGTTTGCATGTTACCATTCATGGGGGAGATGTTCCCAATGTGGGTAGGAGTTTTGAATTTGGGTTTACCAACATTTGGTGTTGTATTGAAACAAGTAAACCAAAGCCTTTGATTTGCCGTCATGGCCTCACCTTGAATTAGATGAAGTGACATCTTCACGGGGTCATTGCAGTATATCCAAAACCATGATTTTTTGTTTTAGCCCTGTCGTAGCAAACATAAACTCTAACCTAATACCATATCATACCCATTCCCATACTCATTATCAAATCCCAAAATTTGTTTCTACCCCAAAATAGAGTCCCGATCACCTGCCAATAAAATACATTCCAAGCCCCTGCCAATATGATCTTACAAAGCACATCTCATAAATAGTGAGTCTCACTTTCATGGTGAGTTTCAGTCTCATAGTGAGATGTACATTGTCAAGATGAAGTTGGTAGAGGGTTAGAAGGTGTTTTGTTGGCAAAAGACCAACTCCCCAAAATATGTTAAAAAAGGAATAGTCTCAGGAAGATTACATTGGCGCCCCACAACACATCCAAACCTTGCATTGGGAACATATCTCAATGACAAGTAGGGGAGATGTTAGGGGTGTTCACGGTTCGGTTAACCGAACCATGGGGTGATTTTTTGGACCGAACCGATTTGTTCGATTTTTACATTAACCAAACCGATGCAACCGGTTAACCAACCAGTGGAACGGTTAACCGCAGTTCAATTTTTTGGTTTTTTATGCTGTCAAAATTAAAAAAAAGGGAACAACGAGTCCTGAACGACACACGTCTGAGATGCTAGAGCTCCACAAGCGTCTCGTGCAACTCGTCCACTGAGTCCAACAACTGCTCCACACAATTGTGCAATGCGCCTTGCTGCCTCTTGCTCCCACCGTGGAGCTTGGCAAGGCAGGCGATGCAGCCGGAGACGACCCAAATGCGGGAGAGTAACGGTTACGGCCACTCGTGTGACGTTGTTGGCAGTCTTGGTGGAGCCAGTGTAGGAGGAGAGCGTGTGGAGACAGAGGTTTGGATAGCTGGCATGGATGCATGATGAATGAACTAGATCCCTCAGTGTGCCGGATCTTGATGCAGCGGTAATGCATCATGCTAAGTGGGAAAGAAAAAGGCGAAGAGGGACGGAGGGAGTGCCCTTCCTAGTTGAAGCCTGAGGATTGATTGGTTGAATGCCTGAAAGAGTAGGAAGAGAAGAGGACTAGACTGAGTACAGTGAGAGAGACAGAGAGTGAGAGTCAGAGAGAGAGAGAGAGAGAGAGAGAGAGAGAGAGAGCTCAGAGAGAGAGAGAGAGAGAGGGAAAGAAACGGAAAAGCCAAAAGAAAGTTCGGCTGTTTGGCTTCCAGTCTGGTTGCCAGTTTGCCATTGCCAGACTCAGTTCGAGAGTCTGAACACTCTCAAACTGCCGGACTAAAAAGTCTCATTCGTTGTCAGTGACATTTATTAGATTTTCAAAAACAAAATAAAATATAATATATATAATACTATATAACCATATGTTATTATATATATATATATATCGGTCGGTTCGATTAACAGTCGGTTTTTATAAATGGTTAACCAAAATCGAACCAAAATTGTCGATTTTTTGAAAACATCGAACCAAAACCGAATCGATTGATTCAATTAATCGATTTTTCGATTTGGTTTTGGTTAATTTTTTCGATCGATTCGATTTTTTGGTCTTTTTTGCTCATCACCGGGAGATGTTACCAATGCACGCGCAGATGTGCATGTGGAGCGCCTCTGGGGCACAGACGTGAATTCCCCCATTGGGGTATCCGCCGCCGACCAGGAACCTGATGCCGTTTCAGTTCGAGACGGGACAACATAGTTAGGCTCAAGTTCGGAAATTTGCGGGCCAGCCCGGTCGGGCTAGAAACAATCACACTTACCAGTTACAAATCATCCTGTCTATCGACTATTATGATTATAATAACATTTCCTGATTTCCATAATATCGAAAACTTGGAAATTCAAATATCATCTCCTATGCCTTCATGGACATTTGCAGAAGCTCAAAACCCTAGAAAAATCTAACAAATGGCACTCTGGTCCTCTTCTCTCACCATTCCCTTAAAGGAATCTTCGATACAAAGGCCCAAATCACTTTGTGCAAGTAGCCGGGGAACCTCTGCATCGGCCGCCTTTCGTAGTTTTCCGGTAAGTTTGCGGATTAAACATTCTTCTGTTTCTACTCCCCACTTGCCGCCTCAACTTAAAAATTCTTTTTTGTCATGATGATCTAATTTTTTTTCTTAATGAACAAGGTTTCATTTGTTGCTACTCTGGTAGATTTGAATTGATAGAAAGTGTGTCAATTCAGTAGTTGTTTTACATCGATGGCTAGTTCGGTGGAAAATGCATGGTTCAGCAAACTCTCTCTTTTCTTTCTGTCATATTCTTGATTTCTTTTGATCTATATATTCACAAGGTAATTGCCTGTTAATGAAACTTAAATTGCCTGCTCAAAGTATATTCGTGAAAGGTACACCATTTTCTGTTTCGGGGAGCTTGATGGTGCTGGTTTCATTTGTTGCCAATGCCGCTTTATCAATTTTCTGCCTTTTGGTAAACTGTAAATATAAATTCATTCCTCTACATCTAAGTATATATTTCATGGCTTATGTAGGTTTCAACAAATTGCTTCCCTTCAGCATCTGATTGTTCTCTTGTGCTTCATGGTGGTGCTCTCAATTTCGGCCAAAGGTTTTGTGGTTTGAAGTTGTGGATACTTGAGAAGCTCAATTTTCAAAGTCATCATAAAAAGTGTGGGTGGGCAAGTGAGTCTAATAGGCTTAAAATTCAAGGGAAAGATCAATTGCAAGGGCAATCAGAAACACCGGTTTCATGTGAAGGGAGCATTCCCGAAGAAGTATCTGCAACAAAGTTTCTTAATGGTCAGTAGTAGTTCCGCTTTCTTAATTTCTAAGTATTCTGTCAACAACAACATCAAAGCATGTTGATCAAACACAAAGAAATATTATTATGTCTTATAAGTTGTTGTTGCTTCAGAGAGAAAAGGAGTTTATTCATTATTGTCTTTTGTACATTGAGTAATATCTGTATTTATTTTTTCTTATATGATGTTTTATGCAGACTCGGTTGATGTAACAGCTACACATATTCCTCAGACTGAAGATAGTTCTTTATCTAAGAATCAAAATGATGCTCCTACTATTCCTGTTGCATCTTTAAAATCTCCATCTTTGAGAGAAACAAGTTCTAGCAATTATGATACTCAGGGTGGTAATGCGCCATCACTTAGCATTGCAGTTATAGGGGCTACTGGCGAGCTGGCTAGAAATAAGATTTTTCCAGCATTATTTGCTTTATACTACAGTGGATTTCTTCCTGAGGTATGATAATTGATATCTTTTTGTCCTTCTTGGTCAAGATTCGGAAGGCTTAATATATCCAGTTGGAAGCCTTATTTCAGTAAGAAATATGGAACTCTTGTCCCAGTTCAAATTTTTCATCTTAGCGCAGATGACCAAGTCTGTGAAGCTGCTTTCTTCATTTTTTTTTGCTTTTTTAAATGGTAAAGTAGACAAAAGAGCATCAAAGGCAAAAAGGATTTCTATTCATGAACAGACTTTAAAATATAAAATTTCATTATATTTACAGATATATGGTGTCCAAAAATATTGTAGGCAGTATCATGTTCAACATCAAATTACCTCTTTTACTTAGCCCCATTTGCTCTACTTACTGATATTTAGTTTATGACTATTTCATGCTGATTTTTCTCTTGATCCTCACTATCGTACTTAGTAAGTTTGGTATGTAAAAAGTCATTTTAATTGAACTTATCTGGTTTCCAACTACTTATATTTGTCCTTTTAGCTTAGATCATATTAGAACTTACCGTCTGACATGAGAATGTGGAAGCAGATGGATCTGGTGTCTTCATTGTTCAATTATTTTGTGAGTCCTTAGAAGTGTCTAGAGACTCTCTTATCCCTTGGAAGTGTCTGTGGAAAGCTCATGTTCCATCAAACTTATCCTTCTTCATATGGGCTGCTATATAAGATGAGATCCTCACCATTGATCATCTTATCAACAAAGACATGATGTTGGACAGTAGCTGTAGCCTGTGCAGGTGGGAGGTGGAATCTGTTAAACATGTACTGTTATATTGAAAAGTGACTGATGGAATATGTCCCACTTTCTGGAGATTATTTAGACATCGCTTCATAGTCCTGAAAGATCTTCCAAGCTTGATCTCATCTTGGCAAATAACTGGTTTTAGCCCAAGGGAAAATTTTATCAATTTGTTTCCTTTTGTTTATGCTGGCATCTATGGAAACAGAGCAATAGAAGGATTCTTGACCAGAAGAAATCTTCTGTGGGGAAGCTATTTGGGCAAATTGAGGGCCCACTTTGGTGTTGGGTTAGGATTCTTAAAGAATTTGGTTGAATCAGTCAGGAGCAATATAAAAATCGAAGACAATGAGATTGCATTATCTTTGACTCTTCTGTTACAGTTAGGGGGCATAAATCAAATATGCTAAGACATGTTCCCCTTTTGTTTTTTCTTATGTACTTTCTAGCTTGAGGAATCTCTCCCTCTTTTTCTTATTAAATATAATATATCTCAGTTATGTTTGGATTTGGAAAGTGAGGTTTTATTGTAGCCCTGTTAGGAAAGTGGTTTTGGAGATATATCGAGGAGCCAAAGAGCCTATGGAGGAGAATGATAGAATCTAAATTTGGGGTAAGGAAGATGAAGTGGGAACTTGCAAGGTTCAAAGTATTGATACACCTGATACATGTGTATCGGGTGAGTGGAAAACTATTTTTTAGTTTCATATTTTTACAGTGGGCTTAAATTATTAATACTTAACATTTAAAAACATCAATTAACAGAATTAGATTCTTGGTGGATAGTTGGTGTTGGAAGCAGTCTATGATGGAATCATATCCATCTTTGTTTATGGCTCTGCACAGAACAGAGAGGCACTGGTTAAGGACTGTTATCAAATTAGTTGTCACCTGGGATCCAGTTTCTCAGAAGAAAATTTGAATTATTGGGAGATGGACCACATGGTGGAGATGCTTCAAAGAATTAAGTCTTGCTGTTATCAGGTGGATCAACCTGGTTGTAGGAGGTGGAGCTGGGAGAACAGTGGTCTGTTCTCATCAAATCTTTTTACAGGAAGCTAAACCAGTATGCTTTATGTGAGTTTCCTTCTAGCAGGATTTAGCAATCTGGTGCTCCCTCAAAAACAAAGTTATTTGTCTGAACAACAGTTTTTGAGAAGTGTCTGAACTGTGATAGGCTGCAAAGCAGGGGCATGCTGTTGGACCATATGGGGTGTGTCTTTTGCTCTGTGTGGTCCCATTAACAGCATGAGTGTACATGGACAATAGTTGTATCCTCACTTTTTTATAGTACTACAAAAATACTTAACCTTTTTGATTAAAAAAAAGCAAACATGGGGTTTATTGTATTGGGAATATGGATGGTTGTATAAGTTTGTTGGGACAGGTGATGAATGTTTAAATGTTTTCTTTATCACCAATCCTTATATTCCCTTTTTGCTTTTATATGAAATTTTCTTTTACTATCATAAAATATCTGTTTTTTTTTGTAGGTAATAGTGAAAATTTCTTTGCTTATGATTAAAAGAATTGTTATGTGCAAAGTGCCAAGTACCCCATTGGAATAACCATATGGCCTACTCTGAACTGATTAATCTCTTCCTTCTTTTGAGATACAAGCTGAAGTCTTACAACTGCTTCCAGAACATTTGGCTCCTGTTGAACCCTTGTTTAGCTAATGTATCAGCCAAGAAATTTGCCTAATTTTTTGACTCATCAGTAAGTGACTATCCTTTTCCAGCTGCCTTATTTCTCTCAATAGTGTTTCTGTATTGCCATGATCTCTCACTAGTGTTACCAAGCTATTACACTACCACTTTAGAGTCTCCTTCCATCACTACGTTCCTGAAATCAAATGATCTTCTCCATGTTAGTCTCCTTAACATTACTTGCATTTGAGTTCTACTGGAATCCCTACGTTCTATAGGGCCTGATTACACAGCTAAGATTTCTCCATGATAATTTCTAAATACTCCAAGGCATGATGCTTTTGGGCTTCCCATGCTGCATCCATCAAAATCCGGCTTAACAAGATTCTGATTAGGAGGGCTCCAATATGCCAAGGAGAGGGATCTAGCTGTGGGAGATCGAGCCATGTGCTTGCAGTTTCTTATCATCAATTGAGAATGGGGTGAAGAGCTCTAATGTCTAGATCCAATGTATGGCATTAATTGCTATGTTTTCCATGATGATTTCTTTTGGTTGTTGTGTCTTTGAAGATTTTGGTGTTATTTTCTTTCCAAATTGTCCACAGCATCGTTGCCTTTGTACAGTTCCACATTTTCCTCTTTTCCTTGGCCAGGTTGAAAAAGAGGGCCTAAAGAGACTTTGAGCATTAGTTGACGGGTCACATGTTCAACCAAAGAGGGAGAAAAACATTAAACACAAGGACAGGAGATTAGCATGTGGTAGGTAGTTTCTCTGCTTGCTTCACAGGAAGCACATGAGCAGGTAGAGACACTGAAAAGCATATGATCTTGATGTTTGGAACTTTAGTTGAGTTTTCTTACACATATATATCTGAAACTTCAATCAGATTTTTCTTGATCAGTAGCTTTAATCTGAAATATTCAGAATGTTAGAGTTGGTCGAGTAAGGGTAACTTGGTCTTTTCATTATAGTTTAAGTAGTGTAATGATGAGGCAATTCTGTTTTGTTTTTTATTGTTCTTGTCCCATACTTAAGTAGGGGTATATTTGACTTTGTACCCGTATTTTAATATAATAGAGATTATGGTCGACTAGGAGGGTTTAGTCTCTCTAGTTCGACAGCTTTCTTCCTTCTTCTTCTTCTTTCTATTTCTCTTTGAACTAGACTTATCTGAACCACTAAAACACAGAATATAAGGTAGTATAATTCATATACCAGCAATATAGAGGGAATCTTTCTAACTTCATCTTATTAAATTTAATATCTTGATCATCGAAAAAGTACTAGAAGTCTAGAACTTGACAGGATGTGATCTTGACATTTGGAAATTTACTTAGTTATATAGCACATATGTATGTGAAACTTAAATCAGATTTTTTTTTGGTCAGTAGCTTTGATTAGAAATAATCAGAATATAGAGTACTATAATTCAGTACACCAAAAACATAGAGAAATATTTGAACTCACTCACTAAGACAATGAGTATTTATACAATACATATAATGAGCAACAACAATGCACTGGTTAATGTCCCTTCCAAATGTGAAGTTTGATGATTTCCATGTTGTGATGGTTGGATTTGACACATGAAGCCCGTAGTGTTTATTCCTTAATTCCAACTTCAACTATTATATTGACAGGGTTATTGCCAAGTTTGCATTCAAGCAACTGAACTTCTCTGCTCACCTGTCAAAATAGATAAATCTTAAGCACTAAGTTATGAATGAAGAAAGAAATGATAAGGGGAACAAACAAAGATCTTAAACTATACTTCTCATCCATTCAAACATGCTCCAGGGATTAAAGGAGTTTTTTATAATATTAAAGGCTTCTGTTGATTTGAGTATTGGATGGATATCTTCACTTATTTTATTCTAAGATTGTATAGTTGAATTTTATTATTTGAACATTCTTGTTTTTCCATGGTTGCAGAATGTTGGCATCTTTGGGTATTCCAGAAAGAACTTGAAAGATGAAGATCTTAGATCCATGATTGCTTCTACTTTGACCTGCCGTGTTGATCATCAGTATGATGCATTGCTTAACTTCTTAAGTAGTTCTCTTTAAGTCTTTATTCCTTCACCGATAAATCATCTATTACTATATAAAGTCAATACCCCACTTACGGGAGAGTTGCACACAAAATCTAAATAAGGCAGACCTATTATCTTTTCCATCTACTATTTGATATCACATGCCATGCACAAATCTTTCATTTTGTGATTCATAACATTCTTAAATTTTGGAATATTCTTTTGAATTGTATATACTCTACTAGTTGGGAGCATGGACTTTGTTAAGTGAAATAGAAGCCAAAGGAGCCTATGAAAGCATAGATGAACATGGGTCAAGTTGACCCTGAGCCACTCATCATGGGTGGCTTAATTGGTACGACCACAGGCTGTTTTAGCAGATTTGGAATTGAATTAGGGATGGTAATTTTCCCCATCGCCAGTGGGTACCTGACCTCCCCGACTTGATGGGGTTGGGGGTGGGGATTGTTTTGGCAGGGGCAGGGATGGGCCATGGGGATGGGGATTAATAGGGACCCCCGACCGGGGTTAGGGTCGGGGATGGGGAATGAAGTCCTCGCTCCACCCCGACCCTGATTATATGTATATATTAAATATTATTCATATTATATATTATTCTAAATATAGATGATATTATTTATATTATATAAAATATTAGTTATATTTTAAAATTTACCTTTATTTTAAGTAAACTTAGTTTTCAAAAAAATACTGTTAACTAAAAAATTTTGGGGATTTGGGTCCCTACAGGGAACACGTCTCCATCGGGGATTGGGGATGGAGAACAACTTTTATTCTTGGTGGGGATCAGGGTCAGGGACGGGGATTTATTCCAAAATTGGGGTTGGGGACGGGGAATATGATCCTTGCCTCGAACCTGCCTTGTTGTCGTTCCTATATTGAATTAGACTACCACTAAGGGTTTTGGGGTTATGACTGTTTCTGACAATTGTCTAGCTTTACCCTTACCGTTAGCATCCGTTAATATTTCGTCAAAGCTTGTACACATGTGACACCACGTGACGTTTAAAATTTTTTAAAACCCAATGTTACCCTCATCTCTTTCCTCTCAACCCGACACCCCCTTCCTCTTTCGACCTCTCTCTCTCTTCCCTCTATCTTCCTCCAACCGTCTCTGTTGAGCTCCCGAGCTAACAAAGAGAGATTCCTCTCTGTCAACACCAGATCGGTTCCAAATCAACATTCTTATCAAGATCAACCCTCTATTGAGCTGCTGAGCTAACAAAGACGATGAATAGTTAAACCGTCGCCACTCTGTTGAGATCCTGAGCTAACAAAGATGACGACCCACTAGAATCCTCTGCTCTCGTCACTCTGTTCTTCGTCAAAGACAATGAAAAGTTAAACTCTCGTGAAGTCCTCGCCTTTACTGCCTTTTGTCTCTTATTCGTTGAAGTATACAAAGACCGACAAGGAAGGAAATGGTTAAACTCGGCCTCAAAGGCTCTTAGAGCTTTGCAAATCGTTAAAGGCAGATGAACCCATCTCTGTTTCCTGTGCTGTAGGCAATCCTGATGTGGTTGCGGATGAATCCCGTCCTGGGTTGGGTCTATTCTTCTGAAACTCTTGTTCTGGCATTGTTCTCATCTTCTTCCTCTATTTCTTCGTCTTGACACGAACCTGGCCAATGCAGGTGATTTTTGGGGACGAGGGATTGGGAGTGTCGAATGTAGAACCTCAGACCGTGCTTAAGATGAGATTTGGTTCTCATCTTCTTCCCTCAAGAATGGAACGACTCAGTCTCCGGCTGAGTCCTTGCCGTTGCACATCAGTTGATGTTGGTCGTCAGTGGTCTCGTATTGGCTAGGGTTCGCATGAGAGAAGGTTGGAGAGGAGTTTGAATGAGAGGGAAAAGTCCAACCCGGGTGGGAGCAGCTGGGCGTTTAAAGGATTGGGTGAAGAGTATCAGCAACAGAGGAGAAGGGTTCCTTGCAGATCGAAGTGGTGAGAAATTAACACCCACCTATCGAAAGAAATCATCATCGACGGTGAGTACCTACATTGAAGTGGCAAACGATGGGCTAGATCTCAAATCTGGGTTCCTTGCAGATTTGAGATCTCCAACCTTTCTCACCGTCACACCTTCATTCAGAAATTGCAGCGACAAGCGTTGTGGGCGAAGGTGATTGTGCTCCTCTCTATTCTTGGGCGCTCTATTGATCTTTGTCTCAAGCAAAAGGCTTTCACAACAATCTAAGGTTAACCCAGTAGAGACTGGCGGCAACTGATGTTGTAGTGTTTCCTTCGAATAGAGATCGGCGGCAGCTGCAACGAGCAGAGATCGGTGGCCATCGGCGGCCACTCATCCAAGTGAACCCGGACGTATAGGTTAAAACGAGGGATAAAAAAGTAATTTTGCTGATCAGTCGAATGTTTGAGTTAAAGGGTAAAATGAACATTTTAAACTTTTTGTCCATGTTTAACAATATTGATAAGACTTAGACAATTGTCAGAAATAGTAGGGGTAGTGTTAGTCAATTTTCAAACAGTAAGGGTACATTTAGTTAATTAGCTAAATGATAAGGGTAGTTTAAGAAATTTACCCTATATTTTATCAATAAATGATGTATAAATATGTTTTGGATATGTTATATGTATTTTTATATTTAATTTGTATTTTTTAACTTAGTTTTTGATTTGTTATTTATAAAAAATATTAAAAATTGCAATTTGAGGCCAAAAAAGGGTTTTTTTAGCGAAAATGGTGGGCAAGGCTCTTACGACTCCTTGGGAGGCATAGATCTTGAAAAGTTACCCAAAATAAAAAAAATCACCCCAATCGGACATCGGAGTGCAAAGTTATGGGCTTCGAAGGTTTGCATACATTGAATGTGCAACCCACGACCCGGTGACCGGGTCAAACGGTTCAACAGTTGAACCGATCAGGTCGAATAGTTCTTGACCAAGTCAATGGTTTTTGACCGTCTGACGGGTCTTGACTGAATTGGACTCGGAATCTTGGCCTGGTGACAGTTCGAACGGTTTGACCAACTGTGCCAACGACGGGTTGAAAACACTACAAATAAGTGGAATTTGAATGAGAGTAAATTTCTCTCTTTCTCTCTCTCTCTCCCCTAACAAACTTCTGAGAGGATGATGGCTCTTGGCATTCAAACTGTTGGAGTGCAAACAATTGGTGGGGCTTACTCATGATTGGTTGTTTCTATAATATGACGAGGAACAAAAATAGAAATTTCAAAAAAGGAGAAAAAAGCACTACCCTTTTACACCCCCACACACTAAAAGAGCCCTCTGTATCCAGCCCAAACATTTTTTTGGGTAGCTATTTATGATATTTTTATTAACTATTAAACTTTTATTTATTTGCGGGCTAGGCTAGGCCCATGCTGGACTTGATGTATTAGGACCAGGCTTGGCCCTGATATTTGTGGGCTTGATGTGGACCTAGGCCCGAGCCGAGCTGAAATAATTGTCCCTAAGTGAAGTGCATTTGGTTTATTATTCATTTTTAAAGTACGTTGAGGTTTTAGACAAATCGTGTAGTTTATAGTCGTAGTTTTTGATTATTTATTGCTTACATAGGAAGTGGGGACCACAATACTCTTGTTGGGTCCTTTTTGGGCAGTTATTTTTATTGTTTTATGCTGTTTTATGTGTTAGCCGCCCTATAAGGGCATATTTGTCTTTGTTCTCTTTATTATTTCAGACTATAAATAATAGTGAAGAGGGCGGCCTGTATTATTGCTCTCTTTTCTCTCTCAAATCTCTTCTCTTCCTTTTCTCCTTTCTTCTCTTCTTCTTTACAAATTATTCTTTTCTTTTACAGATTTTTATTTCAGCACCTTTCTATTTGGTATCAGAGCAATGTTAGGGTTTCTTGAAGTTTATTCATGCAGTCCTAGATCAGCCGATTGCATGAGGAGATAAAGGGCTGATCGATCTACTTCAAATTGCCCAGTTCTTGGTTTTTTTGGTGTGATCTAGTCATTAGGAGGGTGATCTATGTTTTGGCATCAAAATCAGGAAGAACTGGAGTGTGGGAAAGAGTCTTAGTCAAGTTGGACTCTTTAATTTTGATTTGATCTTGGGCGCTCAGGTATTGTTGGACTTCTCTAGGTATTCTATAAGGGGTGGTTAGGCTTCTGGAATTTTCTGGCCCTTTTGGAGTGGCTGATTCACTTTTCTCTCCGGTGGGAGATAGTGGGAGGAGAGAGATTTCTCTTCTAATAGGGTTTTCTCCTTCCGGAAAGGTCTGTTACTTTTGTGTGTGAGATCGGTGGTTGCAAAAGGGTATACACAAACCTATGGTATTGATTACCTGGAGACTTTTGCACCAGTTGCTAAGATGAGCTAAGTTTGGATTCTCTTGTCCTTAGCAGTTACTTATTCATGGCCTCTATTCCTACTTGATGTTAAAAATGCTTTCCTTAATGGTGATCTGCAAGAGGAGGTATATATGGATACTCCAGCTGGTTTTTATGAGAATGTTGGTAAGGGAAAAGTTTGCATATTGAAGAAATCACTATATGGCTTGAAACAGTCACCTAGAGTATGGTTTGGAGCACTTATCCGTTTTGGGTACACATAGACTCAATCCAATCATACTTTCTTTGTTAAAAGGAGAGAGGCACTCTTGTTAGTATTGGTTGTATATGTAGGTGATATAGTTGTTACAGGAAATGATCTGAAGGAGATTGATGCACTCAAGAAGTCACTACAGCAAGAGTTTGAGATCAAGGATCTAGGTGAACTGAAATGCTTTTTGAGGATTGAGGTTGCAAGATCCAAGTATGGGATTTTCATCTCTCAGAGAAAATATGTGTTGGACTTACTACAGGAGACTAGGAAGCTAGGAACTAAACCAACTGATACTCCTGTTGACCCAAATCATAGAATTAATGCTTTGGATGGTGAGTTGGTTAAGAATGTGGGAAGATATCATAGGATGGTAGGCTGGCTACTACATTTATGTATGACACATCTAGATATCTCCTATGCTATTAGTGTTGTGAGTCAATATATGCATGCTCTTCAGGTTCAGCATTGGGAAGCCATTGAGAGGATACTTGCATACTTGAAGAAGCATCTTGGCAGAGGGATTTTTTTCTCAGACCATGAAAATTTAAAGCTGGAGTCCTACACAAATGCAGATTGGGCAGGTTGCTTAGATGACGGGAGATCTACATCAGGGGTATACACCTTTATGGGAGGAAACTTGGTCTCATGGAAGAGTAAAAAACAGTCAGTTATGACTAGATCAAGTGTAGAGGCTGAATATAGATCTATGGCTCATGGTGTTTCAGAAATACTTAGGGTGAGATCTTTACTGAGTGAGATTGGAATAAAAACTGAGGAGCCCATGATGTTATATTGTGACAACCAAGCTGCAATCAATATTGCCCACAATCCAATTCACCATGATAGGACTAAACACATTGAGGTTGATAGGCACTTTATAAGAGAAAGGGTGACAACTGGAGAAGTCTGCTTGCCTTATGTCTCCTTTGAACTACAATTGGCTGATGTCATCACCAAAGGGGTTGCAAAGAATAAGCTTGAATACAATCTACGCAAGTTGGGAATGTGTGACATTTACTCCCAACTTGAGGGGGAGTGTTGAGGTTTTAGACAAATCATGTAGTCTATAGTGGTAGTTTTTGATTATTTATTGTTTAAATAGGAATGGGGACCACAACGCTCTTGTTGGGTCCTTTTTGAGCAGTTATTTTAATTGTTTTATGCTATTTTATGTGTTAGCTGCCCTATAAGGGCATATTTGTCTTTGTACTCTTTATTATTTCAAACTATAAATAATAGTGAAGAGGGTGGCCAGCATTATTGCTCTCTTTTCTCTCTCAAATCTCTTCTCTTCCTTTTCTCCATTCTTCTCTTCTTCAAGAAATATTCTTTTCTTTTACAAATTTTTATTTCAACACCTTTCTACTAAAAAGGAAAAAAGTTGCCAATGAATCTTAAGCAATTTAATGGAGTGATTGAGAGGAGAGATAATTAGTGGAGTGAGTTATTAGAAGAGAGTTAATGACATGATTAATGAGGAGAGATAATCAAAGGAGTTAATGAGAAAGAAAAGGAGAGTTAATGAGGTGAGATGAAAGTCCAAAAGTTAATTGGCTACTTGAGTTATTTTGTTCAATTTTAAAAATAAAAAATTCAAAAAAACCATAAAATAGAGAAGGGGTGGGGAAGAAATAAGAAGCGTTCTGACATATCCTGCTTTGTTTATCTATCTATCTAATCCCTCCATTGTAAACATCAAAGGCATAGGACTAGTATATTTGGGAAGTGATATGTGTTGTGTATGGTTAGTCATATGGTGAATATGTTTTGAACTTGGTATTCTGCAATTGTTTCATTTCAACATGATCAAGAAACCAGAAGAGGGAATTTTCACCAAGGCTCTGAAATTTTACTCTGCAGAGAAAACTGCGATGACAAATTGGATGCTTTTCTCAGTAGAACATACTACCTTAATGGAGGTTTTGACAACAGGGATGGCATGTCAAGGCTCAACAAGCTAATGGAAACAACTGAGGTAAAGTTAGTGAAACCTAGACTACTAGGTAGTTTTGAGTCTTCTTTAATTTATTCCACATATATAAAGGTTTGTATTTTTCAGTTCAATTTCTATTTGTTGCCTGGCTTTGGTGACTTATTCTTTAATAGTTCAATGACCTCAGGGTGAATCTGGAACAAACAGAATATTTTACCTTTCTGTGCCACAAGAAGCACTTCTTGATGTTTCACTGTCTCTTGCTGATAATGCACAAACCAAAAGGGGCTGGAATCGGATCATAATTGAAAAACCATTTGGTTTTGATGCATCCTCTTCTTATCAGTTGACACGGTCTCTCCTTTCAAAATTCGAGGAAAAGCAAATCTATAGGTGCTTATGCATAACATCTCTGTGCAATTTCAATTTTCTTAACAACTTTCAAAGTGCATCTCGTACATGCTAATTTATTTCACTTATACCTCACCTTAAGAATTGAGCAGGTGCCTTAGTATTTGGTTTAATTTATTCTTTTTCCTTTCCCCTTTGCAGGATAGATCATCTTCTTGGGAAAAATTTGATTGAAAATCTCACTGTTTTAAGGTTCTCTAATCTTGTTTTTGAGCCACTCTGGAGCAGAACTTACATACGTAACGTGCAGGTATCACTTTTCTTTTTCTGTTTACCAATGAATTAGACCCAAGTTGGTTCTAATAAGCAACTTTATGATTTCCATTCTTTGTTACAGCTATCAATAAAAAAGCATCTTTATGATTTCCATTCTTTTTTACAACTATCAATAAAAAAGCATCTTTAATGATACTTTTTGTATGACTTGATAAAGGTCATTTTATCAGAAGACTGGGGTATGGAAAAGCAAGGAAGGTGAATACAAGTTATACTTTCTCAAAAGATCCTTTGGATATTGTTCTTCCCTGTTTTTGAATACAACTTATCTTTTCTAAAAAAGGCGCTTTTTTATGAATCAAGTAGCTCGTTCTACTCGATGTTGAAATCAATCAATCCATGATGTTGGTTTCATTTATCTTGTTTGTCACATGTTTTCTTCTTAGATACTTTGATGGGTATGGCATTATCCGGGACATAGTCCACAGTCATATATTGCAAACAATAGCATTGTTTGCCATGGAGCCACCCATAAGTCTGGATGGTGAAGATATTCGAAATGAAAAGGTAAGTTAGTCTCTCTGGAAGGTGTGTGCATTTCATAATTTGTTGCAGTTCCTTCAGAAGATTGATATGAAGCTTCTTCCAGGTCAAGGTTCTGAGATCAATCCGGAAATTGGAACTTGGTGATGTTGTTCTTGGCCAATATAAGGCTAGTTCTGTAGACAAGGTTGATGTTTATCTGAACACCTTGACACCCACATTCTTTGCTGCTGCCCTGTACATTGATAATGCTCGCTGGGATGGTGTACCCTTTTTGATCAAAGCCGGCATGGGGCTAATTAAACACAGGTAGGGTGCGTTGTTTTTGTATAATGGCAGACCAATTTATACTTATAGCTTGCTGACTCCTGAGTTCACTCCACCCGAAGCCCTAAGAATGGGCCGACTGTCTGGGTCATGGTGGTGACTATTTTTTTTTTAATGTATGACTCCAAAGCAGTGATTCCAGTGACTCCATGGCCTCTTCACCAAGTTAATTTCCATTGTTTCCTGGCTGTAACCTATTACTGTTTAGATCTACACTATTTTAAAATGCAAAATTGGTGATCTGAGTGTCTAAAATCTAATAAATAATAGAAATATTTCATTTAGCATACTTACATTTTCATATAACTCAATAATATAATAATAAATTATTATCTCAATAGGTTAATCATGAAAGCTCTCTAGGCAACTCTACCTGTTTTTGCCATAGGGAGAATAATAAATAGGCAGTAGATTCATTACTTGCTCTACAAACTACAAAGATGGCATATGTGAGGGGAAAGACACCAGCTAGGTCTCCTCTTTTGCAGAACCTCATAAGAGTTGATTTTCTGGTGTTAAAAGTTAAAACCTCTCAATAGAATTCTTTAACTCTAGGTGGTGTTTGATCTCTCCAAATGGCCTTTATTGGGAAAATCAAAGGTAAAGGTAGAAAGATAGAAGGGAATGGTAAAAAAAGAGGCACAAGAGATTGAAGAAGGTAGAAAGATGGAGTTCAAGCTCTAAACTCTTTAATCCAGAATAGAAGTGTCAAGGATACACCCCCAGAGATTGAAGAAGGTCTAGCAGACTTAATTCTCTTCTGCAACCAAAACCCCAAGATAACACAAACTCAGAGATGGAAACACACCGGGAAATTAGTTTATTCTTATAAGAGGAATAAGAGGAAATAGCATAGAGGGCAGGGTACTGATCTTTCAAGTGAGACACACCCCACAGTAGAACTTCCCAAAATTTAATTTGTTCCCTGTAAAACCTCATGTGGACTAAGAAAGAGGGGTACAAAACACTCATAGATTTCCAAGGAGAAGCAAGAGTGGATTGAGTAGATGAGTCAGCGTCCCATCCATCAGATTCCAAACCATGAATGCTTCTAATAATAGATTGCCATAGTTTGTAATTTTGTTTATGTCCAAAGAAAACCTCCATAGCCATTTCCCAACAAGGAAATATTTCTAGAGACTAACTTCCCCATCCTAATCCACCATCCTCCTTATTCTTTACACACTATTTCCCATTTTATCAAATGATCCTTTTGAGTCATTGGGTTCCCATAGGAAGTTACTCATCATTCCCTTCAACCTTTTCGCAACTTTCACTGGGATGTTGAAAATGGCCTGTCATAGAATTACCAATTAATTTGATAGAAAAATACCTAACTCTTGCACTTCTTTTGTCAAGTCCTTGGACTGTATTTGCTTAGTAAGGTTAGGAAGGAATCAGGTTCTTGCTTAATTTTGATAAAGATTAGTTAGGTTAGGAAGAATCTTGAGGTGAGTTTATTAAGTCCTTGGTTATGACCCAAGGGTGAATTTAGGATGGAATTAACTAGAATATGGTTTATGGATAATTTTGAGACTAAAGATAGAGATCAGTTAGGTAGGAAGAGTATTGAGGTGTAATTACAACTTTTGCAACTTTGTCCCAAAACAACGAAAAACTTTGAAATGAGGAAAATAGGTCCAGGCTTGGATTTTTTAAATAAAAATTTGTAGGCAGGTAGATGCTAGAAAGAGTGGGGAGAAAGTTGGAAAAGTTAATGAGGGATTTCATGTGGGAGCCAGGTGAGGAGAAGAGGGATCATAGAGTTAGATGGGAATTTGTAAGTAGAAGCAAAAAATATGGGGGTCTAGGTTTAGGAAATTTGCATAAAAGAAACATGGCTTTGTTGGGCAAATGGCTTTGGAGACTACCCGGTGGACAGAGATAAACTACGGGCAAAGGTAGTTGTAAGTATTCATGGGCTTGCAACGGATGGCTGGGATGCAATAGTTGATGTTTGTCTGAACCCCCTCAAGTCAGATGAAATGATCTGGTTCCTGTTGCCTAAAGGCTCCTTTTCAGTTGCTTCCTTTTTTAAAATCCTTTATTTGTCCTCTATCTCTTTACCCTTTCCTGTTAAGGAAGTTTGGACTAAGCCTATTCCCCCAAAGGTCTGTTTTTTGCTAGGAAGTGTTCTTTGGGAAGGTTAATACTTTGGACAAGGTGCAGAAGAAAAGGCCTTACTTGTACTTGTCCCCAAATTGGTGTTCCCTTTGCAAATCCAACGACGAGGATTCCTTCCACTTGTTTTTATCTTGCCTTGTGGCTACAACTATCTGGTCTTGGGTTTTTGCCCCTTTCGGTTGCAGGTGGTTGCTGCCAGCGGAAGTCTCTCAATTGTTTGAAGCCTCAGTCCTTGGTAGGCAATCAAAAAGAGGAAGGCTGATGTGGAGGTGTATTAGAGTAGCTTCATTATGGAGGAGAGGAACACTAGAATCTTCCATAATTAGGAGAGAAGCATTTCTGAATTGAAGGATTGCATATTGATAAAGGCAATACATTGGTTGAGAGCAACAGACTTATCCCAACTCTATTCCTTTGATTTCTGGAGGAACTGGTCAACAGTGGCTAGCACTTCATCCTCAAAATAGGTTTATGTGACAATTTGGGTTTCCCTTGCTGAGGATTTTGTTAAACTTAACTTTGACGGAAGCAGCCAAGGTAACCCTGGCCCCTCTGGCATAGGAGTCGTCTTGAGGGACAAGGACAGTAGTGTTTTAGCATTATTTCCAGTTTATTTGCACTAGTAGATAGAAAGTTATTGTGTTTCTTGATGCACAAGACAAGGAATGGCATTTTTGTAATTATGGTGAACAGTATTCCGGGCCACACATGTCACTCTATAAATAGATGTATGTAGAGGCTGATTTATGTCTCTTACATCTTTCCTTTTTTGGCCCTTGGGACCACCTTTTTATGTTGTAACTTATGTACGATATCTTTTGTTTTATTATTTCTTGTAAGACAAGGACATAACTGTCCTTTCCATAACATTGTATTATCTCATATATAAGTTAAATATTTCTGGGCGTGTGGTTCAAGACAGAACACACCCTTTTCACTCTCAACTTTTTCTCCCCTGTTTTGATCCAAGTTGACATGGTATCAGAGCAGGTTTTTCAACCTGTCCTTGATTGACATCCTTTTAGATCTGTGAGATGGACCCATCTTCTTCAGTTTTGGATTTCGTATGTTGCTGTACTGATCTGCACATCTCTACTGCTATTTCTCTGGAAGCTCGCCATCGGAAATAGGTTTTCTTCATTTTCTCTCAATCGGCTACTCCAATAACTATGAAACTTCAGATCTGAAGTCGCCCAGGTCAGATCTATATAGATCTATAATTTTTTTTTTGGTTCAGATTCCTTTTGAAGAGTGTTTTGCCCCTCTTCTTATTCGATAGTCCAGAAAACTTACCTTTTTTGGACTGTTACCAGTTCGAGAACTCTGTGTGACTGGTTTCTTTATTGGATTTTGATTCCTCTCTGTGACGTGTGGTTGGGCACACTTATTCCGTTGAGTTTTGGACTTTCTTGAACCTTCTACTACTCTATTTTCTCAATTTTCCTTGCTTTGCTGAAATGGCCATGGAGAAAAGAGATATTCTACCAATAAAGTTCAATGGAAGAAACTATGCTTTCTGGAAATTCCATTTCCAGTTCTATGTTGAAGGAAATGGATTATGGGGATTCATGGATGGTTCCACAAAACAACCAGATGAGTCTGATTCTAAGGGGCTGAAACAGTGGAAGATCGACAATGCCAAAGTGGTGTCTTGGCTTCTCAGATCTGTTGAAACTGAGATTGCTATTCCAATGAGAAGTTATCGAACTGCTAGTGAGATGTTCACCTAGATGGAAAAGGTGTATCAACAATCCAACATCTCGCGTCAGTATCAGATAGAGACAGAGATATTTTCTTACTGTCAAGGTAAGAAGAAAATACAAGAGTACTATGCTGGTTTTGTGAACTTGTGGACGGAGTATGAATTAGTTCATATTGGGTGAAAACACCTCTGCTTGCTGCATCAAAAATCTGAAAGAACACTTTGATAGGAGGAAAATCATGCATTTTTTGATGCTTTTGAGACCTGAATATGAAATTGTAAGAGATCCAACATTCTTAGTAGGGGCACTCCTCCCACACTTGACACAGTTTTGGGGGAGCTTCTCAAGGAGGAAACTAGACTCATTACTCAATCACCTTGAGGTCGAAATCTGATTTAGGAACAAACAGCCTTTTTGATGAATAAATCCAAGCCCAAGAAGGACTTGTCTCGTGTACGGTGCTATGAATGCAAGGAATATGGACATGTTGTTTCACATTGCCGGAAGAAAAATTTCTGCACCTACTACAAATAGCATGGACATATTATTCTTGAATGGTTCAAGCTCTAAGAAGAATCAACACAAGGCTTTCCAGGCAACCACTGAAGGTACAGACACAGGAAGTACAACTTCAGCTGGAATGGATGAAAATTCTGGGACTCTTACAGAAGAAGAATGTGGCAGCTAGTATCCTCATCTATTTCCTCTGCATTTTCAGCCATCGGTCTTTCGGGTGAGTCATCCTATCATGGTTCCTCTCCTATCCACTTATGGATCATTGATTCCGGGGCCTCTAACCATATGACGGGGGTTCACATTGGTGACTGGTCAGTTTGTTAAACCCAAATCCTTGAATAAACACATTATTACTACTAATGGAGAGAAACTAGATATTGTTGGTTGCAATGATTTGTCCTTAACCACATCTGTTAATTCTTGTTTTCATCTACCTAAAACTTTCTTTGTTCCTAAACTTACAACTAATTTGATCTCAGTCAGTCAGCTAGTTGAGGATGGTAACATTGTTTCCTTTTCCCATGATGGCTGTTTGATACAGGACCAGCGCACTGGGACGGTGAAAGGGAGGAGGTGTAGACTGGGTCAGCTATTGCCTTGGAATTTGAAAAGACACCGGGGCATTCATCCATATCCTGT